TCTATAGTCATGCTAATACTATTGAAAATTTTCTCTTTAAGAAACAAAATATAAATAGTTGAATGTTTTGAGAATGTAATACTTAAGTGTTAGATTTTTTGTTTCTTGGTCGGTAGTTGTCGTCGAGTGAGTTTTCCAAATAACCGAATAAAAACCAAAATTACCAAATCTCGGTTTGGATATTTTGGTTCAAGTCATTTGCCCAGGCCTACTCTCAATGACAAAACTAAATCATTTCTAACCTTAAACTCTTCCATTGAGATATTTTTCATCAGCAATCCGAGTATCATCCAAGATCAGTAATATAATATTAGTTTCGTGAATGAAATGGAAATTAACCGCTCATCTAATATATAAGAGGACACAATTTTCAATGCTATGATACTCCAAGATTTTATGCTAGAAATCTATCATATCCATTTAGGCTTTGAGCATGGTTATGATTTAGACATTCATTCGAGGGTTTACCATCCATAATCAAATAATTTGATGCTCTAGAATTATTAAAAAAGATCAAATTTTACGTGTTTGTATTTGCATGTAGGTTTTGATGCTAGAGTTTCGGATATTCAATGTTTATGTAAATTTGTGAGGGTTTAGGCTCTCACGTTAAGGTTTAGTGTCCCTCAATTAGAACATTGATACACATACCGATGGGTTACTAAAAAAGATCAAATTTATCGGTTTGTATTTGGATTTAATTAGCCCTTGATGCTATAGTTAAAAGTTTAGATTCTATTTAATGTTTTATATATATGTGTATTTGTAAAGGTTTAGACTCTTATGTTAGGATTTATGTTTCTATTTTAGGGATTAGTATCCCTTAAAATATTATGTTCCTTCTAATTTTTCTTAATTTTAAAAATTTTTTTTAAAAAGAATATTAATGAAAAGTATAAATATATAAAAATAATTGTGGTAATTATTGATAATAGATGAGGGTATTGGAAAAGACGGTAACATTGATAGTGGGGAAAAATTAAAGTATCATAAAAAATGGAATTGATTATCTTCAAAATGAATAAAAAGGGACAATTTCAAAATACCTCTTTGGTGTATCCGTTTTAAAAAATGCCACTATGAGTTGTCAATTTTTAAAAATATCACTAATTAATAGTTTTTTGTACCATAAACTTTAAAATTTTAAACCTTAAAAAGATTTTGATCCCTAACAAACCCTAACATAAAATAATTAACCCAAATTTAAATAATATTTTGAATAAATAATATAATTTAAATGGGTTTTTTTGAAAAGATTTCAAAAATTGCATTTTTCAAAACTTTTCATTAAAAATTACATCTTATTATGTAAATTTGTGAGGGTTATTAAGGCTCTCATTTTAGGTTTCAAATATCTTGGTTTGCGGATTTTTAAGGTTTTGGTCGAAACTCTTAACCTCAGAAATTCTAATCAATTGATATAATACATAATCAAGGTATATATTGCATC